TGTTCAAGTTTACGTAGTTTTTATATATGTTTTCAATTTCGCTCTCTATGCTTATTTTATCTTTAAAATTTTCTCCTCATTCTTTTATTTTTTTAATTGCATTTGCAAAAAATTTTAGTAATATATTTTTAGTGATCTCATCATTTGAAATTAAATTGATTGAGGGTTATGTTTTTTGATTGAATTTGAATAAAAAATTTTGGTTTGCTTTCAACAATTTTTTTCTATTTTACCCCTTACCTTGCTTTCAACAATTTTTTTCTATTTTACTCCTTACCATTTTTTAATCTATAAATAATCCATTATATGACAAATGATTTTTAATTTCACCTCTTATGATTTTTTAATATTTCAAGTTTGGTTTTGATTATTTTAATTGCAATTTTTGAGGGATTTTTTTTCATATTTTAGGCCCTTTTTTTTTTCGCTACTCATTTTCATTTGCAAGTTTTTTTGTTAATAGTTTTTTGAACGATTCTATTATTCAAAATTAAATTGGATGATATTTTAGTTTTTTGATTGAACTTGGGTCCATGATCTAATATGTTGCAGTTTTTTAGATTAGATTAGGTTTAGAAAATTCACTTGGGATTGCTCTATTATTTTTTCTTTTATTTAAAGTTGATGTTTTTTTTTTGAAATTTGACTCTTTTTTTTTTCTGGTTTTCTTTTTGTTAGGTTAGTATCAGATTATTTGATAATTTAGACTAGCTTTTTTTTTTTTCTGGTTTTCTTTTTGTTAGGTTAGGATCAGATTATTTGATAATTTAGACTAGTTTATTTTTTGTTTTTTCTATCTTTTTTTCATTATATTTTTGGTCAATTTATTTATTATTATTTTTTCATATTATTGAAATTGTTACTTTAATCAATGATTTGAGACTCGATTTTTTTTTTCTGTCATGTTTTTTACATAAAAAAAAAATATTATTCCACCCATGGAGAAAACGCGGGACCATGTCTAGTTTTGTCTAAATTGTCTCTTATCTCCTCAGCTAATTAGATGTTCACAAACTTAACTGTGATATTGTTCTTTCAAAATGTCTAGTTTTGTCTAAGTTGTCTCTTATCTCCTCAACTTCTCACGCTCTTTCTTCTCTATGAAGCGGCTATTTGAGATTAGACAAGAGGCTGTACAATTTGGTTTAGTAGGGCATGGCATAACATTGAACCCCTGGATGATGAATGTAGTGAAAATGGTAGAACAAGCAGGTAAGGAGTTAGGTCCAAAGCTGCTCAACTCAAGCATGAGCATTTATTACTAGCTACGGGAAAACAAAATCTTAACTGTGTTCTGCAAGCTTGAAAATACCTTAATGGGCATGCTGGCCATTACATTTCTAGGTTTCATTACATGCCTTCGTGGTCGGTCCCTACCTATCCCAACGATAACCTTAAGCAACAGCCGTTACTGCTATACGTGCATGGAACTAGCCACCCAGGGTTTCTTACATTAATGCAAGCATATGTAGGGAATCAGGCACATGGGGTTCACAGAACGAGCACGATACAAATTTATACTCAGTTGATGATAGTTAATTAAAGGAGATCAATCCCTTTAAGTTATTTCCTTTCTCTTTCAAACTTTTCCATTTCAAGTTCTAGAGATGGTGGGGCAATGCAGTGATTTTGTGTTTAAACCGATAAGTAATCATTAATTTGTCATGATTGCATCAAAATCCTGATACTTGTTTCTGAGATGGCCCGATTCAAATCTAGATCGATCTGTACTCTGAATTAGTTGTTGGTTTGAACCAAAAACATTGATTAAATTACCTTTGGAGCTTGGCCTTGTCCCTTTATATCGATCGGGATAACGACTCAACATGATGCTTTCTTTGGGGACAATTGATTGCTAACTAACACCATGATTTCCCTAAACAAAATTTCTCTTGGCAGGATTAGTTGCAGAGGGCACAAAACGTGACCTTTTGCAGTTCTTCTCAAGTTTTCTTGTTTGGTTACCTTGCCGATGAGCTCATCAAGCCACCACTCTCCCTTCACGTTCAATTCTATCCCACCACGTCCAAATCTTAATTCATCCAGTCGTCAACCCGAGTCCATGCATGCAATCATATATTAATAGAGTTGATTTATATAGCCAGTGAATATAAGGGAAATTACTGACTTGGATATTGTCACTTGATTATAGGGGGGTAATTCTGGTTACATATTATTGAAATATATGAAATTTCTGCAGGGAGACTCTCAGGAAATGTTTTGATGACCGGAAACGTTCTACTTAATGGAAAGAAGAGGAGACTTGACAATGGTGGTGGTGTAAGATTCTAGTTTTCTGTGTTCATAAAAAATAAAACAATGAAAAATCATATATCTTAGCGCGTCCAAATACAATTTGAAGTAAATGACATGATTACTTATTTCCTACACACTTGTCTCTCTTCTAACTGTAACATTAATTACCACAGGCTTATGTAACACAAGAAAATACATTGTTGGGCACTCTCACAGTTAGAGAGACCCTCACTTTCTCGGCTCATTTGAGGCTTCCAAGCAGCATGACCAAAGCAGAGATTGATGACATTGTAGAGGGGACAATCATGGAAATGGGTCTCCAAGAGTGCAGTGATCGGCTAATTGGAAACTGGCATTTGAGAGGTATAAGTGGTGGGGAGAAGAAAAGACTAAGCATTGCACTTGAAACCCTCATTAGACCACAACTTTTGTTTCTTGATGAACCTACAAGTGGCCTGGACAGTGCCGCGGCTTTCTTTGTAATTCAAACTCTTAGAAATATTGCTCATGATGGAAGAACCGTTATCTCCTCCGTTCACCAGCCAAGTAGTGAAGTTTTCACTCTCTTTGATGACCTCTTCTTATTATCTGCTGGTGAAGCAGTTTATTTTGGAGAAGCAAAGATGGCAGTAGAGGTACAAGTGTATAGCCATTCCCTCTGGAATCAGAATTCAACATGTTTTCTCACTTTTCATTTTGTTAAAAATATGTGATGCGCATCTTAATAAATATCTTAGAATCAAACTCAAAGGTACTTATTTCAAACGAGAATTCTAAATTGCATCTGAATCTTACCTAAAATGCTAATCTTGCAGTTCTTTGCAGAAGCTGGATTCCCATGTCCAAGTAGAAGAAACCCTTCTGATCATTTCTTACGTTGTATTAATTCAGACTTCGACCTTGTCACTGCAACTCTGATGGGATCTCACAGGGTATGTGCATGTATGCTGTAGCAGTTTAGCTATTGCTATCATCACTTCTGGATAGAAAAAAATCAAAGCTTTTTTCGTTAGCTAGATCATGATACCTGTCCATCCCTTATACTAGAATTTTATTAAACTGAATTATAATTCTTCTGGTTTTCTTTAACCTAAGGAAATTCAAAATCCATCCGATCCCTTGGTAAATTTGCCAACAGCAGCGATCAAGGCATCTTTGGTCAAGAAGTACATATCCTCCAATCATGCAGTAAAAGCAAGAGCAAGGATTCAAGAAATCTTGGCAATTGTAAGCCGTTCAAACATTTCTGCATCCAATGCATATTAATTCTCCTTCATCGTAATTATCTCGTTTGTCTCGTTCTTGCATCCGTCAGTGATTAGAGTTCTCAGGATGATCTCTTAATGCATATCTTAAATGCAATTTATAGCTGGTTTTTTCCAAGTTGTGCTCGCAGTTTGCATGTTCAGAAGGCATTGAAATTTTTAAAAGGACAATAATAGCATTCTCTTATACCACTATCTACTGTTTTTCATGAACATGAATGCTTCACTACTGCAGAAAGGGCTTCTGATTAACATAAGAGGGGAAAACCAAGCAAACTGGTGGAAACAACTTTCAACACTGACAAAGAGATCCTTCATTAATATGTGGAGAGATTTGGGGTACTATTGGGTTAGGATAATCGTCTACATCTTGCTGTCTATTTGCGTTGGTACCATGTTTTTAGATGTTGGCAAAGGCTATACAGCAATATTGGCCCACGGAGCTTGTGGGGGATTTCTGTCAGGGTTTATGACATTCATGTCCGTTGGAGGCTTCCCTTCTTTCATTGAAGAACTGAAGGTAAAATACTCCTTTTGATGAAACTTATAGGAAAGTACCACGGCACTAGTTCAGTTTTAATTAAGCTTTCGATTTTTATGCAGGTTTTTTACAAGGAAAGGCTCGACGGATATTATGGGGTTGCGGTGTATACACTGTCAAACTTTCTTTCTTCTTTTCCCTACTTGACTGTGATGTCATTTGGTACCTCCAGTATTACCTACTACATGGTGAAATTTCGATCTGAATTTTCAAATTTTCTGTATGTCTTCATGGCCCTTTTAAGCAGCATAGCAACTGTAGAGAGTTGCATGATGACTATAGCTTCGCTAGTCCCCAACTACCTAATGGGATTCGTTATCGGATCAGGATATATTGTAAGACAGCATTCTAATTCATCTTTTGCAGCCCAATCACCATTCTTCCTATAACTTAATGGTTTCTATTCCATTGATATTGGTTTGTAGGGAATCCTAATGATGACCTCTGGGTTTTTCCGATTGCTGCCTGATATTCCCAAGGTCTTCTGGCGCTACCCAATTTCTTACATCAACTTTGGCGCATGGGGATTGCAGGTAGGGTGTACGCAAGATTGAATTTTATTTTAGTTTTTTCTATTTAACTCTTGATATTTACCACTCCTATAATGAGAAACGCAGGGAGCATACAAAAACGATATGATTGGGCTGGAGTTTGATCCTTTAGTACCTGGCGGTCCAAAACTGAAAGGAGAAGAAGTTCTTACAACCATGCTTGGTATTAGTCTTGATCATTCAAAATGGTGGGACCTAGCTGCTGTTGTAATCATTCTCATAGCTTTCAGACTCCTCTTCTTTGCCATTCTCAAGTTCAAGGAGAGAATTCTCCCCGTGTTTCGGAAACTTTGTGCCAAGAGAACTCTAAAACAACTGAAGAAGAGACCGTCTTTCACGAAGACTTGTTCACCCTTTCCTTCAGTAAGGAACCAACCTGCTCAGTCCTTGTCTTCGCAAGAGGGTCTCAGCTCTCCAGTTCCCTACTAGGCTCACATGACACACACACGGCCGCAGTGCTCAAACCCAGCCTGGAATCACATAGAAAGTTATGGTAAAGGAAAAACAAATAAACAGATCATACAATGACTTGCTTTCTTAATTAATCATTTAAAATCTTCTGCATTTTGTGTATTCTAGAGAAAGAGACCTGTCAAAATTGCTTTTACCAATGAATTTCACGTTCTAACTATTCAAAAACATCGTTGGATAATTTCTTCTGCTCATACGTCAAAAGGTATGCTTTGTTCAAAATGGTGGCAGGAGGTCCTCGGTAACTAACTAGACAACCTCTATCCGAGTCCCTTATGTGTCATGGAAAGTAATCTTTCATTGGGATAAGGTTTGAAGTTCATTTCTTTGCAATTTGAAGAAGCAATGCACATCGACACCTAAAAGCACTGTAATTTGGGCATGGCCTGTTAAGCAATCTAGCGAGAAATAAGCGTAAAAACCTGCCTTTTCCCATGCTGTTGAATGTGCCCACATGAAAGATTAAAGTTGAATTCTCACGAGAAGGTTGCCGGCTGTAATCATGAGCCTAATTTCCAGTATGTAGTCCGAACTGCGAACTCCAACAGTATCATTTTTCTTTCTAGGTGAAAATTCCCTACACAAAAATAATGCACAGAATAGAGTAAAAATAATGCTTACTCACGTAAAGTATGATTGTGCATATTGGCAATTACTAGTTGTAGCTGTCACCATCTTTGAACCTGAACCTTTCATGTTACACAAACCATTCTAAGGTAAAATCAAGAGTAACATGCATCAGTCGGTCCATTTATCTATCTATGCACTTCAAAATAATATATATAAATTACAACCTGTAACAACAGCATAATTGTAAGCGAACTGCCTGGCTGCAGGTCCATACCCAACAAAGGTTCTCCCCCAACGACCACAGTCAGCCACCAATGAAATACACAAAAGAGAGAGCTGATATGCAACCCCCAACATCACAAAGAAAGACAACAAAAATGATATCAGATAAATTGAGAGTCTACCGTGCGAGCCACAGTATAAATGTCTCGTGATGCACGGTGAATACATCAAACCTTTCAGTTTTTTTTTTTTATATATAATCAACTAAAAAGACCGACAATCTAAACTGCCCATCTCTGGCAAAGAACAAAGTTGAAACATGCTCACCATCTTCCAACTACGACAAAGGAACTGACTGAAAACACAGTGACTTGGGGACAGCACGCTAAATAGAAACTTGTATGATGCATAAGCCTTAAGCCATGGTTTCTGAAACATCTAGCTTGTAAATAGGAATTCTGTGAGGGTATCAAATATTCACTGCAAAATGTGCAAATCAGTTCAGATAAACTATTGTACCCTAATAATATTTCTCATTAGCAAAAACCAGAAATCCATTACCAAGAAACAACTAAGGTGCCATCGTGCTCATGAAATATAATTGCATCTCACAAGCAAATATCATCTCTCTCTTCTTCTTTTTTCCCTATATTCCATAAAAAAGTTGAGTTTACAGAAAGTCAGTCAGTTCACTTGTCAGTCCTAATATATCAGTTAAAAAATTTATAAATAAAATGCTAAACTCAAATCAACCTCCCAACTCCACAGATGGTTAGGAAGTTACAGGCTAATGTTTCTTCTCCTTGGTGACACCATTTTCAGAACGATTATCAAACCCATGGTAAGGAACATCAATCATGGGCTTGGGAACTGGACGTCCTCCAAAATCCTCTGGAAAGCATTCAAAGTTGGGGCCAAAGTTGAACTTCACCACACAATTTGGCTGACTGGGGAAAGTGTACATTGAAGCAGCAGGGTAGTAACGACCACCAAATAAATCCTTAAAAGCAACACCTTGACAGACTCCATTTTTGAAGAAAGATATCTCACTTCCTGCACAAAGAAAATAATTTTTAGAACACAGTTAATAGTAACATCGACCTGTCAAACACGGATTACATATTAGCATACCAAGATTAGGGCATGGATAAACCAGGCTCAATTTAAAATAGGAATTCCAGCAAGTTATCATCAAGCTTATGTCCCCTAGCTAGGCATTCTCTGCCTAGCAACCCAAACACTGTATTTTCACATGATATTTCATCAATAACTTGGTGAGTTCCATAAAATATGCCCCCCAAATGCACAGCATTTAAGATAATATTCCATTCCATCAACAAATTGGTGAGTGTGAGATCTTCTTTCAAATGCAAGGCATAGCCAGCAGAAGATTGGTCAGGCATGTCCATTCCATCAGAATAAGAATCTAATGTCAATGATTCACTTCACCTAAGAAAACGTGAAAATGATATGTGGTTTCTTTCATATCTCAAAAACAATCTGAAAGATGATACAAAATTTACAACCTGGGTTACCATCAGCGTGAACAGGCCAGACCCAAACCAAATCAGATTTTTCCAGCTAGATTCAAAGATTTCTAACTGCTTGGAAAGGAAATCTAATAGTCACAGACTGCGCACATCATATGGGTACCATCTTCATGTAGGATGGAAACTCTCATCTGCTCGTAAAGTAGCCCACCCTTGACTTAAAAAATAGAAGAAAAGGAAACTTTCCACTTCTCTCTTCCCCTTCAATTATCCTGACTACCCCTACTTCAGACTTTGAGATTGGGTAAACTCGAGGTGCAATTTCAATCACTTATTTGTAATCGTACAGGTTACAAACCTTCTTGTACATTTGGAAAAGACCATAAATGCCTAGTCATTTGGAAATCACAAATTCCCACAAGATCACAGACCTATTTACTGAGAGAAGAATATAAATGCCATGTGCAAAGCAGGTGGTCTATCTCCTCTTCTTAACCTACCTTAAACTTCCACAATACCACCAACTCCATGTTCAATTTTTTATCACAACGCTGAAATTTCTGGAAACTAATGCAACAGGGAAAACAACAGTTGATGTGCTTAAAACTACTTTACCACTAAACTTAGTGTGGCGTGATTGATGTGAGTGAGGGTAGATTCAACCTTCAGAGCACCACCTTTTCCATGCCACCTCCACTCCCTCGGCACAGAAAAACCAAGTTGCTAACCTCAGCATAGCAGAACTTACGCAGATAGAATAGAAAGGGCTGAATTGGCCAGCCATTGGAAGGCCATATAAGAAGCTCTGCATCCACGATTGAGGACCTATTCTACTAGCATTCGCACTCAAAGATTGCCATAGCTCTTCTATGAAACAACAAGGAACTCCCTTGCAACTCACAATACATTTCAAGCACCATGCTATATCACCTGATCAATTAATCTTGTATTATAATTCCAGGTACGTGTGCTGCCTACTTTTACTCTTCCAACTGATTACACACCTGTCTTAGAATGCAAGAGAACAGCTGAGCTTTAAAAGGAGAGCTGAGTTATCTTATCGTTATTGACCTTCTGTACTTGCATGTATAGTAAAATAAGCCTATCCCCATTTCCCGGAAAAGAATACGTGTAATCAAATTATCAAGTGACATACACTCTCAATAGGAGAAAGTCTCAATTTTTTCTCCAAGAAGTCAACAATAAATCCGATTACAGATAGGAGGAAGTGGAATTACAATTAAGGGACAACATGGAACATTAAAATTCTAACAGAGAGCATCCTTATGCATAAAAAGAAAAAAAGACCATCGTAGTGACAGGATAATCATCCTTGAAAACCCCCACACAATCAAATCTACGAGGCAGGAATCTCCTTCCGATCCACACCATTAGCTAATATATGTTGCACAAGATTCAGAGTTGTTTTTAGAGGGTTAATGTCAGCACATTACTTACTTCCCATCCTATATGCAATTAAAGATTTTTAATTTAAAGGAACATATAATTCAAATTTAAAGCAACTTTCTTAGCTAAAGTCTTGATGCTTATACAGTCATGGCACTTCGTCCAATCCTAAAATCTCTTATTCAATACAAGAAAACAAGAGGTCCATAAAACCCCTAAAATTCCTTGATGCAAACCATAACCAATGCCATTAACATCAAACAAAAAAGTAACCTAAGAAACTCGTTACTTAATCAGCACATCGCAACACACTCAAGTTGCAAGAGTACGCACATGCTCAACAACATATGGAAAACAAACACATAACAAATCCCGCGTTACGCAAAACAAGAAAAACATAAACTCACCAGGAACAATCTTGGGAGGATCTTCCTTATCATCAGCAGCACAAACATACCTCTGTCCTTTATACCAAACCAAATGAGCAGGTTTAGGAGTATACAACTGCCCCTCCGGCAAGTTAATATAAAACCCAACAACATCCCCTTCCTTATAACCTTCCTCGCCATACTTCTCCCTCAATGCCTTGTGCACTTTACTACCATCAATATCTCTGTACCCAAAACTATTCCCATCATACCCAACCGGCGCCTGCAAATCCCCTTTCTCCGTAGACCACCCAAGTCGTGTGTGGCCGGTTTCTCCTAAACTAACCACTTTAATTTCAAAATACCAAGCTCCTTCACATACCCCTCTTGTAGCTCTCACCATTCTATACCCTTTAGTACTCCCTGCACTCATCCTATCTTCGCTCAATTCGGCTTTCTCTGCTTTATATACTCTAGACAGGCAGATTTTTAAGGCCGAGGTGTCGTCGCTTTTGTCAGGGAATCTTGGGACTGGAGAGATCAAAACAGTGTCTTCTGATGGTGTGTTTTGTGGGTTTTGTTTTGTTTTTTTCTTGCCTTTGCGTGGGGATCTTGTGGCCCAGACATTATTGTTGTTCTTTTTCTTCGACTTCTTTTTTGTTGTTGTTGTTGTTGGGGTGATTTTGGTTGGTTTCTTGAATTCGTTGGCACCATTGTTGTTGTCGTTGTTTAAGATTTCTGCTATTGTCGTAGGTTCTGCTGGTTCTTGGCTTTGTGTGAAAGAGGAGAGTTGTTTTTGTTTTTTAGGAGGTGGGTCTTCTTCACCTCCATCGTCTTCAATGTCTTCGATTTCGGTGTCTTCAATTTTGGGAGATTTGGTCGTGGGCTTCTCGTTGTCGTTTGAGGTTGTCGGGTGGTCTGATTCGGAGAGGTATTCGGAGGCTGGTGCAAAGGGGTCCTCTCCTTGAGGTTGTTGGTTGGAAGTTGTGTTGTCAATTGGAGTTGTTTCAGCGTCGTTTTGAGGTGGGTCTGTGCCGTTTTGGCGTTCCTCGAGATCAATGGGACTGATGGCGGGAGGAGGAGAAGGGTTGTGGTTGGTGGCGCTATTGTTGGTTTGTTGTTGTTCTTCGTCTTCTTCTTCGTCTTCGTCTTCGTAGGTGGCTTGAAGGGAATCCATGAGGTCAGGGAGGTTTGGACTGTGGATTAGCAATGGAGCGGGTTAGAGTTTTTGAGCGCTTGCGGACGGAGGGAGAAATTAAAGACAAGAATTTCAAAACAGAAGTCAGAAATGCTGGGGACATAAAACCCTTGATTTTCCCCTTAAAACCTTTTTATTTTCAGGGTTAATATCGCCTTTTTGCCTTCAACTTTTGCTTTTATTATGAATTTTGCATTTCTATATAAAAATAAATGTATAGATTTTGTTTTGCAAGAACCGCATTCGTTAAGCGTGTAAAAAAATAAGAATAACTTACTCATATTTATTCTTATTTTATCGATATTTTTTTTTTAAAATCTGATGCTAATATTTTTATTAGTATTTCATAAATCAATATTAAATATTCTCTTTTTTTTAATTTTATTATAATTTTTCATTTTTTTTGGCTTTCAATTAATTTTTTATTTAATACACACACTAATTTCTTAGATATTAAATCTAAATACATATACTTTTAACACGTATGGCATAGATTAACAAAAATTGACCAGAAAAGAAGATTTATATATAAAAAAATGTATGAGGTAAATTAATAGAAAAAATATAGGAATAAAAAATATTATTAACTCATTTTTATTGGTGAATCACATAGTTGATTGACACATAGATAGTGTGCCTGGTGATTAATTATATATTTTCATTTTAGGAGTTGATCTATAAACCAGGTATCAATTAAATGGCAAATTGGGGTTAATCCCAAATAAAAATGGTGAATGTAATTAATACTAGTTATTTGAGCTGCATTAAATTTATGTTTTTAATCAATAAAAAAGTAAATATATAAGTTTTTAAAATATTTTTTTAATTTTAATTATAAATTAAAATATCTATGCATATATTTAATTAAATACATTAAGAATCATTTATGTTAATAAATATAAAAATTAAAGTGTTAACATGTTTATTCAACTCGTTTTATTGTTAATTAAGTAATCTTTTTAACATAAAAAATTAATATATAGATATTATTAATATATTTTTTGATTTTGAATAAAAAATATTGAATTAGAAGGTTAATGTTTATATATAATAAAAATATATAAAATTTCAAGCTAATTTTAATGTAGAATATAGAATGAAGTAATATTGCAATTGTTATAATAAAATATTATTTTTTTATTCTTTGTATAATATTATTTTTTTGAAAAAATATAAAGAAAAACAGTTACAAAAATTACAAAAAAATAAAAATAATAATAATAGGAATGATATAAATAAGTAAAGTGTAAAGTGATAAATACTTAAAGTTTAAAAAATAAAAATAATATGTTTTTCAAAAAAATATAAAGAAAAAGAAAGGAAAAAATAAAAAAATATTAAAAAAATAAAGATAGGAAAAAAAAGGTGATTAATAGATCAATTGTAAAATAACAAAAATATCAAGTGTAAAGAGAAAAAAATTGATTTATTGTTATAAAATTTTTATTTTTATTTATTAATATTAAAAATAATAAATATAAAAAAAATTTCTTTAATATATTTTTAAGGAAAAACATTGGACACTACAATCCAATTAAGGTCTCGTTGGCATTGAAGTCTAACCATATATTGTTTTTAAATTTTGGATTTTTTTAGTTTTATATTAAAATTTTTAGATATTTTTGGATCATTTTAAAGTTTTAAGATTTAAATTAAAATTTTAAAAATATAAAAATATCTTATTTTAATGTATTTTTAAGTGAAAAATATTTTAAAAAATAATTTTTATCATATTTAAATTCAGTTTATTTTTGTATTTCAATAATATTTTTAAAAAAACTTGATTTTTTAATTTTTTAATTTGTTTTAAATTATTTTTTAATATTTTTAAATTATTTTGATGTGTTAATTTAAAATAAATTTTAAAAATTAAAAAAAATATTATTTTAAATATTTTAAAATAAAAAATATTTTTAAAAATAAACCGAATCGAAATATTAAACAAGTTGTTACAAGCAGGCCCTGAATCTGATATTCTCCTTCCGACTTGTAAGAAAAAAGAAGATAGCCTCACCCCAAATTTGCACCGAAGAAAAGAAAAAACGAAAGAAAGAAGTAAGCACTTCTGAGAAATACAGATCGTCTTATTAGTTGACACGCATTGTACCAAATCTATATATATATATATATAAATATATATATATTAGTAGTAGTTAGTCATTAAAGTATATATATATATATATATATATTAGTAGTAGTTAGTCATTAAGGAATTGGTGTGTGTGCATAGTCATAATCAGATAGAGAATATCTCTCTCCTCTTATCTCTCTGGTAGCCATAGACATGGTGACATGAGTTGCAGCACCTACTCGCGCTTTGTCCCTGTCTGTCTCTCTGATAAATGACAATTCTATTCCTGTGATGCCCTGCACTGACTTGTCGTGCCGGCTTCTTTCTTCTTAGAAGAGAAGAGAAGATCCCTTTCTTTCCTTCTCTGTCTGTCTGTCTGTCTCTCTCTCTCTCTTCTTCATCTCCACTAATTATTATGACTACTAGAAAGCTCAATTCCACTGTAATTATTCTGCTTCTCTCTTTCCTTCTCTACCTCCACTGTATTAATTAATGATTACATAAATATAAAGTCTATACTGGATAATAATTACTATCATCTTTGATTTCATTCTCTCTGTTGGTTGACTTTTCATTATCATTGACAGTCTATGTGTTTGGATCTCTCTTGTGAATCTTGAATTTTCTTTTCTCTCTTTCTTTTTGCACTCCCTGTGAATTGGAGCACAAGCTCAATCTGGTAGTATTTTCTTACTTGAAAGCTAAGCAGTTGCCTGGACTTTGTGTGTGTGTGTATGTGTGTAGTGATGGATCAACATTAGTAGAGATTTGTTAGTGGTATCATTCACAACTGCAATTTAGAGACAAATTGGGTTTTTTTGCACGCAATTCCATATTGTTTGGAGAAACGTCAGTGTTTTCCCCTGTGAAAAAAAAGCTAGAAGGGGAATTCTGTCTTCTTCGTGTTGAGTTATTACATTACATCTATCATCATATCCCAAAATTTGTTTTTGTTTATGTTTTAATCATGCGTCTTTAATCATACAATCTCGAATGACAGGACTTCCTAAACCTTACCACTGTAGTTCTTGTAATTAATGATTCAAAATATCAAATTGGTGGCCTTGCCTTTCCAAGTTTTGACTTTCGAATTTGGTATGTCGGTGAACGATTTGACCGTTATAAGTTTATTTGAAGTTCCTGTGTTCATAATACAGTCAATGACTGAATATGCTCTGTTGATGCATTCACAGTTGGAAGTAACCGAGGATATAATGAGTAGGTATATTTGAAATTCTTTTAGTCCTGCTCAAACCGGCATAAAGTAAATGCTTTTTATTTACTCCTCTTTCCATTAACTGTACTCCACATTCTGCTTTCTCGTTGCATCACCCCAATAAAATCAAGTTGATCCCTCCTTTCTGACAGGATTCTCATGGAAATGGAGAGGCAAGTTTGCCGTGTTCGCGGCCTGACAATGGATTTAGTGATTCACTTACCCTTTTCCATTCTGAGAAGGCAGTGCAGGAGCTTCTTCAACAGACTCCAATCCAACACACTGATGACCATCTCATAGAGTTCTCAGAGGCTCTTAGAAGTATGTTTTCCCTTGACTTTTTGGACCTGCACCTTTCTTTTCTGGAACTATTATTTTCTGTGAGCACCCATCTAATGTGCAATTTTACAAATTAGCTGTTGCGAAGGCATTAAAACAAGCTGCCGAAGGAAAGGCTTTTGCTCAAGCTGAGGCTGCTGAATGGAAACGTAGATTTGAACTGGAAAGGGCACAGAATCAACAATTACAGCACAAAGGTTTCTCTGATGATTAAACAACATGGATAAATAGAAACATATGAGTTTCGTCCATGCATATCTCACTTTTTTCTTTGATGTTGCAACCCAGTAATTTTATAGGGGGGAAAAAACAGTTCAATGAGGCCTATCTGAATCATTTTAATTCTCCTGCAAAAATCACTTTCTAAAATTCATTTCTCTGTTTGGTGCAACTTTTATTGCTTAATATTTTGCAAGCTTCATGTCTAGTTCCTTTGATTTCTAATTGGTATGTCGGTGAACGATTTGACCGTTATAAGTTTATTTGAAGTTCCTGTGTTCATAATACAGTCAATGACTGAATATGCTCTGTTGATGCATTCACAGTTGGAAGTAACCGAGGATATAATGAGTAGGTATATTTGAAATTCTTTTAGTCCTGCTCAAACCGGCATAAAGTAAATGCTTTTTATTTACTCCTCTTTCCATTAACTGTACTCCACATTCTGCTTTCTCGTTGCACCACCCCAATAAAATCAAGTTGATCCCTCCTTTCTGACAGGATTCTCATGGACATGGAGAGGCAAGTTTGCCGTGTTCGCGGCCTGACAATGGATTTAGTGATTCACTTACCCTTTTCCATTCTGAGAAGGCAGTGCAGGAGCTTCTTCAACAGACTCCAATCCAACACACTGATGACCATCTCATAGAGTTCTCAGAGGCTCTTAGAAGTATGTTTTCCCTTGACTTTTTGGACCTGCACCTTTCTTTTCTGGAACTATTATTTTCTGTGAGCACCCATCTAATGTGCAATTTTACAAATTAGCTGTTGCGAAGGCATTAAAACAAGCTGCCGAAGGAAAGGCTTTTGCTCAAGCTGAGGCTGCTGAATGGAAACGTAGATTTGAACTGGAAAGGGCACAGAATCAACAATTACAGCACAAAGGTTTCTCTGATGATTAAACAACATGGATAAATAGAAACATATGAGTTTCGTCCATGCATATCTCACTTTTTTCTTTGATGTTGCAACCCAGTAATTTTATAGGGGGGAAAAAACAGTTCAATGAGGCCTATCTGAATCATTTTAATTCTCCTGCAAAAATCACTTTCTAAAATTCATTTCTCTGTTTGGTGCAACTTTTATTGCTTAATATTTTGCAAGCTTCATGTCTAGTTCCTTTGATTTCTAAACTTCCTTTGGCAGCTTTCTGCTGGTATCAATAGATCATCTTGTACTACCGAATCAGTAATTAGTAGCCCTGACTGCATGCAGTCCATCCTTTGTATTTTGTAAGGTTCTCTATTGTTTCAAACTTTTCA